AGCGTGGCATACTTCCCCCAGGTTAGGTCGAGGTCCATTAGCTGTGTCCTCAGCACCTCACGTCAGCTGCCTCTCGAACACTAATGATTGGATGAGAACGGACAGCTCCCGGCTCGCTTATTGGACAGCAGTTTCCCCTCGCTTCCGGTAGCTGACACAGCTTAGCACTACTTCAGCTCCGGCGCCCGGACTGAGATCAGCACTCACTGATCCTCTAGCAGAGCAAGACCACAACAGCAAGCAAACAGGCCTACCTAGGCCTTAGCCGTCGGGGGAGCCGCCCCGGCTCTCCCCGTCGATCTCCAGCACCCAGACATACCTGTAGGCACTCACACCCACACCAATCACTCCTTAGAGATGATCGACACCAGACAAATGGCGGATGCAAATCCATTGCCATACGGTATCCAACATTCGCTTTACTTTATGCTCGTGGCACACTTGCCAAATAGACAATATCTGCCGTAGTCTGCACAACCCATGCTTAAAAACTATGTTCCAGGACTCCTGCATTTCTATGCCCAGACAAAAACAGAAGCGGACACGGAATCTGGATAAAAAAGGGAGGACATCAAGCAAACACATAGACAAAGGCACGAAGACAAACCTTGGCAGTGCCCTTTGCACCTGCTACCAACTTGGCTGGAGTCCACAACGGTATAACATCTACTTGGTCTACACTGAGTGGCGCATCATCGTAGTTCTCACTCCTTCTGGCCCAAGCTGGAGCACTCCACTCTGCCTTCCTCTTATGACCGCCTCTTCTTCCACTGCCTACGCTTCCATTTTGCTTGCATACCTGCAACAACAATTAACCTCCATTATATTAGCTTCCAGCAAAAGCAATGTACATGCATCCTCATTCACTATGCAAACTGGAGTCGTCGCCCTACCTGCTAGATCGCTCCTTCTCGGCGTCCACTCGTCGTCTCCATCATAGTCGAGGACTCGAGCTGGCCTGGCTGTGGGCGCGACAAACCCGTTGCATCGCTTCCTCTGTTGTCGCAGGACGAACTCCGGGAGCTTGGGGTCCAGTCCTGAAAGTGCGCTGCAGTTGTTTAAGAGATTTTGAAGAGAAAATGTGTATGAGCCGGTGATGAAGGAAATCCCAGGATCCAGTGAAGCATTTTGTAATACCGATTGTAATGAGCGTGTTTAGAGTTTTTACATTATGCACAAGGCATGCGCGCGTTTCAGATGTATATGTGGATGTCTGCGCATAAGTTTTTGTGTGGGAAAGGGGGTATGTATACAAATGAATGGAACATAATAATTATATAAATACCACATATTCACAGCTACGCTTTTCCAGGCAATGTATTTGCTAACCCTCCGCTTCCGTAGGTAACCAACGAGTCTTACATGGACGCTAAAAGCCTTCGAGATTTTGTGTTTCCTTATCCTTCTCTTACCTGTACTCTCTACAATTTCCTTTTTTCACAAACTCTTCTGCCTCTCGGCACTCCAACAAAACCCAACACATCACCTCTTATTTTCTACAAAGATGGAGCTCCATCTTGCCAGAATGCCCGAGTCGGAGAATGGGAGTCGTGAGTCTGGCCTGGCGGTGGCCTTCCGTTGCCGCCCCGGTAACCAAAGACTATCTACGAAAGACAGGAAACATGCTATCTAACGCATTCTAAAAAATGTGAGCTCCCCGGTCGTCTACCAGCGCCATCCGTTGACTCGACGCCCAACTAAACATCCGACGTCGTTCAGTGGGGGTGTGCTCACTCGGGTTCATGTTCTTGGTCAGTTCAGACTTATTCAGAGGGGGTTGCGAATAGCTTATTTACTAAAAATATATATATATATATATATATATATATATATATATATATATATATCATATCGTATCATGACTGTAGTAGCATTTATTTTCTTCATATAATTCTTTCGCCCCTCCCAGCCCGAAGCTACCCATTCGGCAATTTAGGGCCGGTTAACAACTGTAAATTGGTAGTTCATACATGCACGACACATACGGCGTATACAACATGCCATATACAGGACACATTAAACCACGTGGCACAATGAACTTATAGGCCTACAGTCACATAACATTAGTGACATATAATGTATATGATATTGCAAAACATGCATCAATACATAGAAATTGAGTATGATAAATTATAGAAAATGATTACAATATCTTTATTAGAATAATAGCAAAACCTTTACAAATAAATGGCCGAAATACACATTATTATTTCAATTCTTCGCAATGCGACCGCATGATTTTGAGATTAATTTCCTCATTAACAGGTTTTTATGTTTGATTAGGGGACTGTCCCCTAACCCCCTTTCCTAGGAGCTGCCTGGAATGCATCTGCTACGCCTTTTATACTCTGGCTAGGAGCTCGAAAGAGGCCACCGTCGTTATCCTGTTAAAATTTGAACTTATTTTACTTTTTATATTTCTGTTTGTTCCTACTATGCAGATCTACAAAGTAATGAGCATTGTTCAATCGATATATATATTGATTTGGGTGATAACTATAATCTATCTCAAAATCAACCTGACACAATTTTTTCACTCTATTGATGTCAAATCTATCGTCAGCTTAAGACAAATTGTAGATTAAGGCTTGCACTATAATATTAAGTAGAATTATGGCCTCTACTTTTTTAGACGGGCGTCATGACTTGACACCTTTACCAATCAAAATAATTTCTTGTGATCCAATTTATATCTTGCTTATGTCAATCTAAACATCACATATCTTAGCTTATATCTAAAAAAAAAAAAAAAAAAAAAAAAAAAATTACAAACCTTTCTTTTTCCTTGGCAAAACATCTGAAATATAAGTTGTTTATTCTCTTCTTTTTGCTTTTTACTAGCAGAACAAGGATAAGACTTTCCTGGCATTGTCAATTTTCGCGCTTCTATGTAAACAACAGACGGTATGAGATGACGTCACGAGATGCTCACTAACGCCATCTATTGCGCCGACGCCGCATTACTCACAGGATTTTGCTTGACTTTCCGGTCTTTCGTAGATAGTCTTTGTTGGTAACAAAAGGGGCGTCGGGGTTGAGTCCATGCAATTGACAAGCATTTTGCACACGGCTTGTTTATCCCCTGTTGCTATTAGCGTATTAATGAATATCACATGAGCGCAAACAGTTTCTGCTATTTTGGGAGCATTAAGCTACGGCCAGGGAAATTAAGGCAAAAAATATCGTGTGAGTGTGCCCTTTGGGGGGGGGGGGCAAGCCAGACCTAGAGGGGTTCAAACAGAGTTTTAGGGAGTAATTTCCTTTTCAGTGGATACCCATATTTTCTTTTAAGAATTGGCACATCTCTACGGCCTCACTTAAGAAAATAATCCGTTTCCGATAAATATCCGATGGAAGTGAAATGCACATTCGAAGCGACACAACTCACCGAAGTCTTTCATCGCTTTGTAGTTTCTCAGGATATTCTCGAAGCGATTCTTCTCGATCTCTGGGAAGGAGAGTCATTCTTCCGTCGAAAACAGTTGGTTTACGTCCTCAGCCATCGCACTTATGCGGCCGAAAATCTAAATGTTCCCTGAACCCAATGTCGAAAGGATCAACGGATGCCGAGGCTCGGACTGAGCCGATTCACTTGGAGCCTCGTGCTGCGTGGGGCCGTGACGTCATCATGACGTTTTGTTTTCGTCATACTCATGAATTATAGCATTGATAATTACAGCTATCATCTTTTGATATAGGTAAATTAAGCGAGTAGGCAAAAGGCCCCTCAATCATAAGATACGCCTTGATTTTTGTTGTTGTTGAAGATTAAGCCTCTGAGTTGCATGGGCGTGACGTCACGACCAATCCGTTCGCGAGAATCCACCTAAAGATTTCCCGCCAAAAATCATTGCGTTCGGGATCGCTTTCAAGGAAGTCATTACTTCAACTGGTATTAGCATTGATATTTGCTGTTCTCATCAGAAAAAAAAAAAGAAATTACAAATTACATCTGTAAGAGGACAAAGAGAGCTCAATGCTATCAAAAATATATCAAGGCGTGAGGCAGGGGCAGCCTAGCTGAAGACTTCGTAGCACATTAGTCTTCCATTTATATTTTCCAGACTTTCTTTAGTCATTCTTGAATTTCAGATTTATGTTAAAGACAATCTATTTATCAGAAACGCGATTACTGTGTAAATATTTCACATAATTCAACCTATCAAAGTAAAAGTAAAGACAGATTAATGGTTAACCTCACTATTTTCATTTATATATTTATTTTTTTTTTAATTTTTTCTTTCTGTATTTATTCTTTACTGTTGTAAATGATGCAATCTCACTTTTTAATGGAAGTCTTAGTAGGCAGTGTCACAGAAATAGATTTGTGAGGCAGTAATTAAATGCATCGTTTGATTCGTGTAATATTATCTTTGTAGAATATTGCGAGTTTGAATTTTGTTGTAAGTTTCCAGTGATTAAATTTTCTTTGATTATACGATTATTCGTATGATTTATTATAGAAAACGATTCTAATTTTGTTTCATTTTTTTGCTGCTGGCATTTTTTATTGGAAATATCTTAGTATGTGGACTATGTTATGTGAAACGTATGTGTGTATAGGCTGATGTAGAAGTGAATGAATTTATTTTGTCATTATGAGTCAGATATCCTGTTTATCCAGTGAAATAAGTTGAAATATGTGATATGGCCAAGACGTTACCGCGTTTTCCCGCCAAATTTACCCAGGCAACAAGTAGCCCCGCCCCTTGCAGCATCTGTAATTAAGAAAGAATATGGTTATACCGGAAGGTTGAGTTTTGAGTCGATCACTGATATCAAGATATAAATTGACAGTAAGAATGGGATTTATATATGCATTGACTAATTATTGATAATAGCCCATTTGTACAAATGTTTCCCATCCTTGAAGCTGATTGGTTCACGCACGAGCAGCGCTTAGTTCTGATTGGTCTTCCTATAATCTGTATTATGATTGGCTGGGAGAGCCTGGGCAAGGCGCCACCACCAGCTCGAACAGGTTTTTTGTTGACTGACACGCTCATGGAAATTGCGTTTGTGCTTTGACATTCTTGTATAACGCCAGTATTTCTGGGGAAGAGCTGGCAGTTAAAGTGCTAAAGGATTGTTGCAGTCACAGTGGTAACCCCAAGGACTTCGGTGTAGTCTGGGAAAGAGCGCTGGCGTTGGGCTTGCTGCCTTGCAGAGTGATTTTCTACCCTCACGTGATCATCGCATTGGTTGGTGTTAATCAGTATACTGTATTTGCCTTTATAAGAATAGTGATGTGCCATTATTTCCATGTAGGTGTAATCTATGTCAAGTGCTGATACCTGATATGTTTTACATAAGCGGAATTGTCTCGCATAGATGCAAGGGTGCAGGCTGTCTAGCTGTCCTGAGATGTACCTGTCGTGCGGTGACGTGCCTGTGGTGATGTGAAGTGTCAGTGTTACCCGCTTTGGGATACGATGTACGTATTTTATGTTTGTGTATTGAATTTGCTATTATGTTAGCCATTTTGAAATTATTTGTATATTAGGTGAGCTGCATTTCAGTACATAGCAATGGTATCTATTTGTTTGCAGCTCGAATGTCTCCTCCAAGAAAGGATTAAACCCTGTGCAAGAATCCAAGAGACTATTCTTGAAGCCCTTATTGCTGCAGGCAGTGCAGACACATTGTACTGGTGGCCCCACAGTGTGACGTATTCTGTAGTTGGAGATACTGGGGGCTACAATGTTCGAGACGGAAAGTGCTGATAAATGAAGACGCATTTCTTGTCTTGCTGCCGCATATATATTGAACCAATATCATGTATCAGTTATCTGTTTTAGATCCATGTTTTTCATTGTTTTCCTCGTGTTGTAAAATTTCAAATCATGGCAATTACTATCAATATATTTTGTCTAGATCTATCTCTATATCTATCTTATAACTTTCGATATATTTGTATTTATATTTATTGTATATATATATTTTTTTTTTTCGAGTGTGTGCATTGTTCTAAATTTTAACAAACACTTTAAAGTATGTAATTAAATCGACCGGACAACCAATTATATTTGTGCTTCCCTTCAGGTGATCCCTGTTGCAGGCTGCGCCGTGAGACTTCCAACTAAACGTTTTGTCCCCGTGACAATGCACCTTTTATGCCATTTCCAAGATTAAGGAAAATGTAGCATTCTTTAATACCACACATAAATTTAATCACATAAATACAAGATATATTGTCGGCCAACATACTGCTCTGTGTTACACTATACCATTATCTACTGGAAGGTACTGGAGGATGATTATGGAGAGATAAAGTGCAATGCAAAGGGAAGCGTGTGCGGTGGAAGAAGAGGCGGTCACAAGAGGAAGGCAGAGTGGAGTGCTCCAGCTTGGGCCAGGAGTGTGAAACTACGACCAAGTAGATGCTATACCGTTCTGGACTCCAGCCAAGTTGGTGGCAGCTGCAAAGGGCATATTCAGACATGCATATACACAGAAATCAATGCATATTTGTCTATCTGATAGATATACATTTATGTGTCAATCTGAACGGTTGATATGCACGTCTAAATATATGCATATCGTATATAAGACCATTCATAGGGTTGGACCTCGCAAAATCTTAACAAACCTACTGCAAGTATATGTCGCTGTCGACTCCTGCCAAGTCAGTGGCAGCTGCAAGGGGCGCTGTCAAATTTTCACTATTATTGTCTCTAAACGTCCTGGTAATAAAACGTTCTCATTCAAAGTCTTAGTTGAGTCGTTCTATACTTCTATATTTTTTTTCAATCATTGCACAGTAGTAATATGGCAACACTAGAATGCAGTTTAATGATTTGAAAGGTATGATATATCGTTTTATATAAATTAAAAATGCAAGCTATTA